TACATTTAGACACATTTATCTCATTTGCCTTTACCCAATTTAAATTAGCAGTTATATCTAAATGACTTAAGATGCTGATATTAACTATCGCTGTCTGAATTCAATTAAAATTAAAATTGTTCATCTAAAAAGTACTAATTACCCATTGCTGTTTCATTGAGTACTGATTACCCAGAAACCTGTTAAAATAAATTGCAAAATAAGTTTAGCAAGTTACAAAGCAATATTTTCAAAGGTAGTGATCTTCCTAGATTTAAAGAGAAATTCCTTCAATCTCAGTGTCTAGTTAGTTGCATTTTTCCTAAGAACACCTTAGGCCCATGATGTCATATTCAGTTGGCCACGTGGGGCTTAGGCACTTGACCTAAAACCCAGCAGACCAGAGGGGTGGGGTGAAGAAGGGAAAAAAGAGAAGGAGAGTGTAAGAGACAAGAGAGGAGAGGAGCTAGTGAGGAGAGAAGAGAGCAAGAGAGAAGAGAAAGTAGACCAGAGGAGGAGGCTAGAGAGCAGCATGTTCAGGAATAGGTCCTTTTAAAACTTTGCCAGAGGGCAGCCAGGGAAGCAGGAGCAGCGAATCCCATTAGGGTGGGGGTGGAGCTTGACACTGGTGGTTGGGCCACATGGCTACCTGGCTTTCAGCAGTGGCAGCGGGGAGAGGCAGGACATGGTGGACATGGCAGTGGGGCGGAAGAATGCACATATGGGGACGGGAGGTTCCTGGCTAACTGTGGGGTCCCCAGGAACTCAGGAGGGTCCGAAAAGGTGGAAGGTGGAGAGTTTGGCAGTAATACAGAAGAGGCATCCTTAGGAGGTGGGGCTGATCTTGGCTAGCAAGACCTGGGCCGTGGAGCAGGCAGAGAGGAAAGTAGGGGAGAAAGGAGTAGGACGGGAGCGGAGGTCCCAGAAAGCCTGGACGTATGGGACCTCTGACCGTTCACTCTCCCTGTGGCAGAAATTCTCAAGGTAATTAGGCCATACTTGGGTGGAGTAGAAAATTAGGAGTTTACGCCATAGGTCCTGGGCCAGTCCCAGTTTCTTCAAGTTCTTTAGGAGGCAGGCCAGGGGGCATTTTGAGTCCCACCTTCAGGATTGGCCAGATCCCATGGTTTCCCCGGCAGCCCGGATCTACTAAAATTCAGGCAAGGTGTCCCCTGTCCTGGACTTCAGTAGACAGACTAGAGGTCAGTCCTCTATGGGGCCAAGCCAGCAGCAGGACGTCTCCATAGCCACTGGGAGGCTAAACAGTGGAGAAAAGAACCCACATGCACACGATTTGGAGGTCTCTGTCTGGACGGAGAGGTAGCTGGAGATCTCAGAGGCTGGGACAACCCAAAGGAGGGAGGGAGAGCAGGGGAGGAGTCACTTACAGTTGGTCAAGTGTGGTCCGTAGTCAGCCTGGGGCACCAGACAGGTTCAAGGAGCGAGGGGGCCTCAAACCCAGAAAGGGGAGGCGTGCACCCTCAGCTCCCAGGTTTCGGCACCATCTGCAAGGTGTCTGGCGCATAACAAATCTTCCCAGGCAGATGAATCAATTAATTCATGGGCTTTTATTGGGATTCTAATCCTGGGTGAGGTTCCCCAGTCCCAACAGAGTGGGGCCTGGGGAAGTCGCCTGTAGTATGTTTTATTATTGGAGAAAAAATAACTCATGATCTCATTTATCCCACATCCCTTATCTTTTCAAATGTAAGATATCTGGTCTGGGTGCTAAACCTGTGGTTAAGATGGACGCATCCCAAATCAGGGTGCCTGGGTGCGGTTCCCGGCTCTGGCTTCTGACTCCAGCTTCCTGTCAGTGCAGACCCTAGTAGGCAGTGGTAATGGTTCAAGTAATTGGGTTCCTGCTACCTGTGTGGGAGACCTTGACTGTGTTCCCTGCTCCTGGAACAGGCCTCAGTCCATCCCTGGATGTTGTGGACATTTGGGGAGTGAGTCAACATATAGGAGCTCTTTAATAAGTAAAAATAAAGATACAATAAATCAATTTGAAAGGCTTACACAAAGCAAAGTGATAATTATTATGACTATAATAATTACACAAAACAGTGATAATTATCCTTGTGTGCTAATATAACTGGTGATAGTTCCAGTGGTAACTCCACAGAGTACTGAGAGGTCACCAAATTGTTTTGGGTCTGGTGCACTTTTATTAGTTTCAGATAATTCTGGAACAAAATCCTATGAGAAATTGCCTATACCAGTAATTTTGAAACTTTTTTTTTTTGCCTGGATCCACATTAAGAAAGACATTTGAACAACCTGGTATGTATCTGAATGCCCATTGACACAGATAACAAGAATGAAACAAAAATTTCAGGAGATTGTTTGCATTTAGAATAATGGCCTTCTACGAGTATATTGTCTGTTCACTTGTTTTCTGTTTCATTTCAAAAAAATGGATGAAATTTAGCAATTAATGTCATTTCACTAGCCACAGAAAAACATGAATTTATGTGATAAAGATAGAATGACAAATCTTAGTCTGTTTTAAGAGAGAAAATTATTTATGCTGTACAAGTTGAGTGGCTGTTTACCTTGCTATCATGATTTTTACTTCCAGACACTTGTTCATCATGTCCAAAGTAAGCATTTGTATCATTTTATAATAAAATGCCATACAGTAACTTTCTACATCTTTAGAGACACAATACCTTGGTAAGTGTACCGTACTCTTTTGTAGATGGAGGTTAAGATTTGCTGTGTTGTAGGACATTTGGGGAAGAAGTGTGTATTCTAAGTCTTATGCTAGGACATTTTGAGATTTTTTTCAAACTTTTTCTCGATGCTTGCACCTTTTAGTGCATTCTTAAATACTTCTTACTCCTCTCTGCAGGCCAAGCAGATCTTTTTGAATTTGCACCGGGGTGGTGGCTGAGTGGCTGGCCGACTGCTCTTCCTTGATACACTTCTTTTACCTGTGTATTCAGTGTGCACAACACGTCGGGTGGTGCCACAGTATGCACAAGCTGACATCTGTGCAGATGAAACTCCATAGAGCAGTAGGGCCTACTGCTGACTGATGTCCTGCTCAGGTTTAGTCACTTTAGTGTAGGAAAGCAGTAACTTCAGCAGCAGGAGTTAATTGGGGTGGTAAAGCAGGACATTTAGTAGGGAGATTCTATTTTGACTCATGCCGGTAGGTTAATATTATGCTTATTTTCATGTAAATATACTCTGGGTCAGGTGGGAACTCTGTGATTTATAACTGGAAAGCTAAATTATAAGTAGAAAGCCCATGGTAATAACTCTTAGGAAAAAATGACATTAATAAAAATTAGTAGTTTCCCCTTATCTGTGGGGAATACATTCTAAGACACCCCAGCTGAAACTGCAGACAATACTGAATCCTGGGAGTATTGTTTTTGTATATGCCCTGCAGTGTTACCACACAGTCCCAGAGTTAATCTGCCCTCCCAGGTTTTATACACTGGTGACTTTCTTTGCATCACTATTCATATGTGTTGGGCCACAGTGAAGTAAAGGTTAGTTGCATGTCACTGCTTTGACACCCAACAGGTTGTTCTGATAGATGGCTGGCAGATGACTAACAGCATGGAAACACTGGACAAAGGGATGACTCTGGTCCTGGGTGGGATGGAGTGGGGTGGCACAATATTGCATGATGCCAGTCAGAATGACACACAATGCAATATTATCCAGCTATAAAAAAGAATGAAGTCCTGTCATTTGCAGCAAAATGGATGGCCTTATTTTAAAATACTTTATTAAAATAATAGACATAAACATTTGGAGGATTACTATTTTGGGGATTACTACATGATACTTCAGGACTTCTATATGATGTAACGTCCAGTCATGGTAAATAGATATAACTCTTCAAACACTTAACATTTGGAGCTTTTCTGTATCTTGGGCTAGGAACTAAACTTGAAATTGAAGGTGCTGCTGAGTGGCTCAGGATTTTTGTGGAGACACATAACAAGATCAAACAGGAGTTTAAAAAGATGAGTGGTAGAGAGTTTGAGAGAGTGGTCATAGGAAAGATACTGGATATGAATAAAAATAGACATCATAGTAGCTCAGGAGTACAAGAACACAGCCTGAGATGTGGATATAGCAGTAGGAATACAAAACAAAGATCTGGTGTGCATGGCAATTCAAGGAATAACTGACAGAGCTTGATGAGAGAAAGGCTATGGAGATGAGAGATGCAGTTAACTGTGACTCATTATGTTAATACCTAAAATTATAACGTAGAAAAAGATCAATATTTGTGCAAAAGGTTATGAATTTCAAGGTATGTGTTCAAGTATCTTGGGTTCAAACCATATTTAAGTGTATGATTTAAATACAGTTTCTTCACAGGATTGTATTTTCTCCTTTCTCCATTGGCTTGCTTATTTTCTTTGATTCAAAAGGTTTATTGTGCAGTTCTGTAACAGCATGACTAGTTTGCCATATTGCTGATATCAATGCTACAACACTAGCTTAGAAGAGAAAGGATTGCATTTGAATAAAGTCAGGTAGCTGGTTACAGGAGTCAGAAATGTGAAACACACAAGAGTGGCCGGTACTGTGGTGCAGTGGATTAATCCTCCGCCTGCAGCACTGGTGTCCCACATGGGTGCAGGTTCTAGTCCTGGCTGCTCATCTTCCAATCCAGCTCTCTGGATTGAAGACCCTTTTCTCTGTCTCTCCATCTCACTGCCTATAACTCTACCTCTCAAATAAATAAAATATTTAAAAAAAGACACATGAAAGAGGTAGTTTTTACTTCATAATCTTGTGAGCTTTTTAGAATCACATTGCATAATAGCTTAAGGATTGAAAGAAGACTAGATGTGTAGAGTCTAGCTAATCCTAGGTGTTCGTCTAATAAAATGTCAAAGGAGAGCTAGAAACTGGAAGTAGTCCACATAGTCATTGATAGGAGAATGGATACAGTGCTATATTCATATAGTGGAGAGCTAATCAGCAATGAAAAGGATTGATCTGTTGAGTAGCAAAAACATGTTGAGTCAAATAAATCTTACACAAAATAGTATACTAGATTTTTTATTTCAAAGGCAGAGAAAATGAGAGCAAGGCACAGAGACAGAGGGAAGGAGAGAAAGATCTTCTGTCTGGTGGTTCACTTACCAAAGGTCCACAACAGCCAGGGCTGGGCCAGGCCAAAGCCAGGAGTCAGGAATTACATCTAGATCTCCCACATGGGTGGAAGGGATCCAAGCACTTGGGCTGTCATTCACAGTGCCTTCCCAGATGAATTAGTAAGCTGGATCAGAAGTGGAGCAGACAGGACTCGAATCAGCACTTCATTTGGGATGCAGTGTTGTAAGCAGTGACTTAACATACTGTGCACAATGCTGGCCCCACAATACAATTATTTTAATTTTTTGGTACATTACAAATTGTTGGGGTAAAGTCGCTGGTGATGCTGGCATTCCATTTAGGCACAGGTTCGTGTTCCAGCTGCTCCACTTCTGACCAGCTCCCTCCTAATGGCCTGAGAAAAACAGTGGAAGATGGCTCAAGTGCTCTGGCCTCTGCTACACCCATGGGAGATCCATTTGGAGCTCCTGGCTTTGACCTGGCTCAGCTAAGGATGTTGAGGCCACTGGGGGAGTGAACCAGTGGATGAAAGATCTGTCTCTCTTTCAAATAAACCTTTAAAAAATGATCATAAAATGTTGGTGAAAATTTAAGGAAATCTGAATGATTATTAAACACTTGGATGGCTATTACTTATAAACATGGGAGTCAGTAAGACACTCATTAAGATACTGGAGTCTTAGAGCTTTGAGTCTGAATACTACTAGTTGAAGCTTTCATTAGTTTTGAGAGCTTCAGCAAATTATAATAGCAAATTATAATAGATTTTACTCACATAAGATGGATAATATCTATAATAAAGCTTTATGAAGATTAAATGGTTCAAATTATACAAAATATAAAGATATTTAACATATGGTGAGTTTTAATAAACTATAAAGTGTACAAAAACATTGCAACTAAATCTATAGTTTTGTTGTAAGAGCCGATTCTAAAAAGTGAAAATACTTTCTAATAAATATTAAATGTATTTTTCAATACCTGCCAAATGATAGAAATTATGAAAGTTAATTTTAAATATTTAAATACTGTCTTTCACTTAAATAAAAAGATACAGCCCTATAAAAGTTTTTTTCTTATAGACTTCATAATTTCAGAGTTTTTCAGCGCATTTGTTAGTTACCATTGCCAAGATCCTGAGGTAATAGAAAGGGAAGCAAAATGAACAGAGACAGGGCTCCTACCCGTGAAAAGTTTACAATATATAATTTAATGTTTCATTACTCTTCACAGGCTGAACACCAAATCCAGCAAATAGGCTGAAATATGCATTTGGATGTTTACCTTACATTAAATTTTAAATAGAATCTAGATAGAGAATAGATAAAAATTCCCAGTGCAGTGCTGTCCAAATAGAACTCTGTGTGATGATATATTTTGGGTCTATGCTGGCCTACATGGTAACCACTAGTCATATATGGCTACAAAATCCTTGAAATGTGCAACAGCAAACCTATATTTTATTTAGTCATGTGTGTGGCTAGTGGTGCCCAGACCGGACAGTGCGTCTCACAAACTATATGTTTTATAATTTCTATCTGCAAGGAACCAATACTTTCGTAGAATGCAGTAAAAATTGCTACAAAATGAAATGAAAAAAACCAAAGACATGCAAAATACCACCTCAATTTTTCTTATTAGATTCAACAAGACATAAAATTATGCTGTCAAAATTACTATGAAAATTTCTAAACACTCCTATATTTTATGTCATCTATACCCGTGACAAATAGCTTTCAGACTGGCAATGGTTATTCAGTCATTGAACTAGGTAGGAGTCTCTTACCTCATGTGTCTACATAATTTCCTCAAACCAACCCTTTATATTAAAATGACTTTTTTAAAACATATTTTGGTACAATTCAATAATGCAGTTACTCATAGAACAGTTAACAGTCTTTGTAACAAGGCTTATCCAGTGCTGCCATATATTGAGACTGCAATGTGGACAGCCTCAAGGTGGACTGCACAGGCTTATTTGACCCAGCAAAGCCATTTTTGCAGTTAGAGGTGTAAGCTGAAGCATCCTTCCTTCTATAAAGTTCAGCCCGATGTTTACAGCAGCCAAATTTGCTCAGCAACAGAAAGAAATCCCTTCGGAATGCCTTTGTGAAAATTGCATACAGAAATGGATTGGCACAAGAATTGACAGGATAAAAAAGGACAAGTAAAACTTTAGAGTTGGTTACTGTGATGAGGGGCACTTTGAAGGCAGCTGAGATGGCAAAAAAAGAGATGGGTGCCATACAGGTGAAATCGGTGAAGATGAGGATCGCCATTTTCTTAGCAATCTTTGTGTCTTTGTTGGTAGCCATCAGCTCTGGATTTTGAACTGCAAAATAAATTTTAATGTAGCAAGCACAGATGATGATGAAGGCTACCACATTAAGTATCAGGATGGTTAATATGTAGACTTGGGAGAGAGTGGTTTCCACATCCATGGGGAGGCAAATGCTGACCTTCCTGTAATTGCTGACACCCACGAGGGGCAATATAGCGATGAGAGTAGAAAAGAGCCATCCTGCGAGCATAATGGGGACGGCGTGTCTCAGCCGCAGCTTTTGGTCCAGCTGAATAGCATAGGTGATGGTGTGCCACCTTTCCAGAGTGATGACTGTGAGGGTGTAGACAGAAAGCTCACTTGCAAATACAGTGAAAAAGCCGGCAGCACTGCACCCACTCCCTGTCTGCCAGTCTATGGCATGGTTATGGTATTGGCCTTTGGTTTGGGAATCAACTGAAGCAATGAGCAGCAGATAGAGTCCCATGCAAAAGTCTGCAAAGGAGAGATTACACATGAGAAAGCGGGGCACCGTGAGTTTGTAGCGACTGGTCAGGAGCACTAAAAGGACAGTCATGTTTCCCGTGATGGCTAGAATGTTAATCAGCCAAATCAGCACCCTAAGGAAGTCATATCCCATGATGTCTTCACAGGGGTTGAATGCATCTGGTTCAGGAGCACATCGGAGGGTTTTGGGTGAGCAGAAACCATAATCATAGTCCCAGCCACTCAGCTCGCTGTCAGCAAAGATGGCAGAATAACTGTGGGAAGAATATTGGCTTGATGTAAACTTGAGGTTTTCTATCATTCTGGGTACTTAAAAATTAAAGAATCATCCTTAGTGTTTTTTAAAAGCCTACAAAACAAAGCTACAACAGTCTTAACTTTACATTTATTGAATGATCTGAGAACTTAGATTTGATGTAGGAATTCCTTTATTCATTTATCAGTCACCAGTCCATACGTCACACTGATGCAAAGACTTCAGGAAATTGTTCACACTGGATTATTTCCTTTGGAAACCAAATTTAGAGGCATAAAATTTATTCTCCAAATTTAAAAGAACCTTTCCTTGCATTTTCTATTTATCTCATTTAGTTGTCGACCAGACTGCTACCACGCTATTTGTAGTGGCATACAAATGGAATGGGGAGGCTTGTGCTGTTGGAAATCATCAGGCACTGATAGCCTTCTTTGCACCCAAGTTCTCAGCTAAATCTAGGAGCAGAGGAAGAATCAGTTAGACAATAGGAAGAGATAGTGAAATAGATACCAGAGGGGTGTGAGTCAGAGAGTGAACTCAAGAGGGACTCCTAGGACAGAGACAGTCTCTCTGCTGTCACTCCCTTCCAACTTAGCTACTCCCTGAGTTCAAGTGTTCATCCTCTTTTATGGGGAAATCATGTTTGTTCTTTACATCTTTTCTCCAACTCTAGCTCTCTCTCTGGTCCATTCTGTGTTAGGCTCCTTTGGAATTGCCCTTTCTAAATTCAGATCTGTTCATTTTACTTACCCAATTTGAATCTTTTCCATGATTTTATTGACCATGGGATAGAATCTAGTCTCCTTTTGATAGTTTCCTTCCTTGGTCTGGAGCCTGATGCTGCATGGTTCAGAGCATGGGCTTTGCGGTGACACTGTCAGGGCCCCGTCTTGGCACAGCTGCTTACAGGCTATATAAACCTAAGATAGCTAATGAACACCTCAGTGTCTCAAGTTGTTTTCCAAATAGGTATAATAACACTTTCCTCCTTAGGGTTGGGCTAAGGATTAAATGTGTTACTATGTGTAGAATAATTATCGACACCGTAAATATTAGGGATTCGTATAATGAGCTCTTGCAAGGCCCTTGTGCAGCTTTCCTTTGGATCACATAAAATGATCTGTGATTCTCTTAGGTCAGTTCTACTATTTGACTCATTTGCCTCTGTATGTCTTGTTTGGCCTGCCAAGAATTTCCTTCCTCTCCTCATCTTTCTGGTGAATTCTTCTTCATGCTTAAAGACAAATTCCTTTTGGAAGCCTTTTTTGATTCTGCTCCCCAGTAAGTTTATGATCCTTTCTCTCTGTTAGGGTTGCAATTAGTACCACTGCAGATATCAAAACACATTGCAGTTAAATGATGGATGTCTGCTTTCTTTAATAGTCTATTGGCTTCTTGTAGGAAGAAGTCTATGTCTTATTTCTGAAACCCCAGTGCCTAGAACAGTTTGGGCTCAGAGTGTCCATTCAATAAATGGTTTGTGAAATGAATAAATCTAAACCAGGATGATCCTTACTCTGAAAGGAGATGACAGGTTGCAGGGACAATGAGCATGTACAGTGTGATGCATGCAGGCTCAACAAATTTCTGTTTGCCCACACTCTGCTAAAATAATCTTGGGAGCTGGAGAAATGGGCATAATTTTTCAGTCAAGGCTATTACAAATATATATTTTACCTTAGGGTTCTCGTATTGAGAGTATTTTTCTCTAGTCTCCAAACTTCTCATGTTCTGTATTGGGAAATGTGCACCTAATTCACTGAGTGGATGAAATAATATATTTGAGGAATACAATACTGAAAGGAAAGAACACAGATTTTAAAAAAGGAATTTGTGGCCGGCGCTGCGGCTCACTAGGCTAATCCTCTGCCTTGCAGCGCTGGCACACTGGGTTCTAGTCCCAGTTGGGGTGCCGGATTCTGTCCCAGTTGCCCCTCTTCCAGGCCAGCTCTCTGCTATGGCCCGGGAGTGCAGTGGAGGATGGCCCAAGTGCTTGGGCCCTGCACCCCATGGGAGACCAGGAGAAGCACCTGGCTCCTGCCATCGGATCAGCGCGGTGTGCCGGCCCACAGCGCACCAGCCGTGGCGGCCATTGGAGGGTGAACCAACGGCAAAGGAAGACCTTTCTCTCTGTCTCTCTCTCTCACTGTCCACTCTGCCTGTCAAAAAAAAAAAAAAAAAAAAAAAAAAAAAAGGAATTTGTGGCCTGGGACTCCAAAAAAGATGTTAAAATTATGAGAGACATGAGAGAGACTAACAGGGCACTACAGAAGAGCTGCACTATGTACGGATTGCATAGGAGCATCTTCTGTTTTGTTACTAAATACCTTTGGACACAGTGCTTCATATCACATTAACGTTGCTACCTGTTTTTTAATCTCTAAAGAGAAGAGATGGTTGTATGCAACTATGAAAATAGATGATTAATTTCTTAGCATTAGAAAGGTCCCTCAAGACCATCTCCTTGAGCCCCTCATTTTAGTACGTGGGGAACCAGGATGAAAGGAGGTAAATGACCTGCCCAAGGTCTCCTTGGAGCACAGTGTCAGCACGAGGCTTCACCAACCTCACTGTTCCACAGTATTGTCTTTAAAGTGTGGCACTTGGGCCACCTCCATCTGAGTCACCAGATTCCATGATTGTTTACAGTCCTTGTCTCTTCTGTGGAGGAATACTTTTTTTTTTCTTCATATTATTTGTTGAACTCTTTTACTTAGTGTAGGGTTAACTTTATGATCATTAAGTAAACAAAGTGGATATTTGTAAAACTTAAGAGTTGGGAATGGTAGAGGGAGTGGAAGAAAAGCTGGAGCATGGGTGGGAGGGAGGGTAGGGTGGGAAGTGTCACTATGTTTCTACATCTCTACATATGAAATACATGAAACTTGTATAACTTAAATTTAAAAAAAGGAGATTTCTGGCTTTACTCCAAACCCTGACTTGAATTCTCTAGGGACAGAGCTCAGGAGTCAGAATTTGAAGCAAGTTCTCTGACTGAGTCCCACAAAATAGTCTTTGTTAAACCGGGTGAAAATATTCCAGTAGTTGCTGCCTTGACTTCCTTTACCCTTTTCCCCTATCAAAAGTTCTTCCGCTGCAAGAAGCACTAATTGAAAACCCTAGAAATTCTGCCATAACTTCTGAATACATTTATATCAATAAGCAGTCAACATTTCTCCCTTCGCCTTGCCCCCAGTTCTCTGCCCTCCCTTTCTCTGCTCTCCTGGAAATACGTCTAGGAATTTTACTGCTTGGTGATTCGTCTTCAGACCAAATACTCACCGGCTGCTGCTTACATTGGTGTCCTGAAGGACAAGCGTCATGCTTGCTGACAAAGCCAGCACGGAGCTGATGTTAGCTCAGCAGGGAGGCTTTGACAGGGCATGTGAATGGACTTACAGGGCTTAGTAATACTGAGTTAGGCGAGGGAGAAGCTGTAGCAACACTGCTCAAAAGAAAGGAGAAAAGATGGGACTTTTAGGAGGACAATGGGGCTACCCATAGCACTGAGGATACCATGTTATCTTAGAACAAGAAGGCTTAATGGCTGGTCTAGAATTTCTAAATACCAGTGTCTCAGGAATAAACATGATGGAAAGTGAGGGGGGGATTTATCATAAAAATTGTTTCCACAGGGAATGCCCGCTGGATTTAGATTGTGCATTGATTTCAGATAGTTTTGGGATGCTAAGGATTAGGGGACTTAAAGCAGTGTTAGCATAGCAAATTTAGGATCGGATGCTCATTTAGGAAGAACTGGGATAGGAACTTATGAGAATTATTGATGGAGGTTAAAGTCTCTCCTTCCCCCAAACCACCCCTTGGTGCTCCCAATTACTGAACCCAGATATGGTTTCCTGTGGATGGGAATAAAATCATATGTTTGTAAAAGCGTTCTATGGACAGTGACTGACAGCTTACTGAGAGGGAAAGGGTGGAGGGATAGGAAAGGAACACTGGAGGATAGATGGTGTCCAACCAGAATGAAAGGAAAGGAGGAAGAATGATCCTGTCTGTTGTAGGCACCATCACTTTATTAACAAGCTCTCATGGTTCTGAAGAGCAAATAATACTTCTGTATTCCTGATAGATGAGAGGAAAAAGAAAGGCTAAGTAGTGTCCAGTGATACCCGGTGTCACAGCAGTGTTGCTGCCAAGGATGCATATCCAGTTCCGAGGAGCCCCAACGCCCGGTGTCCTTCCACCACACCATCCTGTTGCCTCTATGGAACTTGGAGAATGAAAGGACAAAATAGAGGAAAAAGGGCTTGGTAAGGTGTCCTTGGGGGCATCTGGTTTTGTAGCCTGAGGACATGGGGGAATAATAAAATTCCTAAATCTTAGTAAAGGTGGCATAGGGAAGCTGGGGTTAGTTTTGAGGCTTGTTCTTTTACAGTTGAAGATAAATGCCAAAGCAGTCGGCATCTCCAACAGGAAGCATTTTACAGATGAACAGCATAGGAAGGGACCTACCACCCTATCATCGTAATAATGGCATTCAAATGACTTTTAAGCTTGGTTGAATAGTGGTCAGGTTGGTCCTCATCTGTTTTGAAGGAAAGTAGCGCTTCTTGAAGCTGTGTCTGCAGTCAGTCCATTTTTGTAGGATGCTGACCGTGTGACTAGTGAAAATTCCCACAAATGACGCTATCATTTATACCAGCCTTCAGTGACATCAAAACAAATAAAATTATGGCTTTTGGGGGGACAATTTAATTGTAGGATGAACATTTAGGTAGATGTTTAAGAGGTTTTTTTAAGTAGGTCAAAGTTACACAAGCCCCATGAGATTGTGCTTGCAAAGAAAAAAGTTCCCATTTTTAAACGATTAAAAATACTTTACAAATACATCCAAGATTTCTATCACAAGAAGATCATTGGTACACAGAACAAGATAGCACTTCCTGGGCTTCTTTGCACGTAAATACTTACAGAGTTTCATTATTTGATTTCCTCACTGTGCTTTCACATTGTTGGGAAAAGTTTTCAAAAATGGAAAACGAAAAATTCTGTCTGAAAGAGAAAAGGTCAAGAAAAAAAGCAGTTGAGTGTCTGGTCTTTAAGCTAAAGCTGATCATGCCTATGTATGCTTTGTTCATCTGCGTTCTTTACTGCTGCACCAGTGTCACGTTCTGCACCATTGTCCTCACGGAAACGCTTCCCAAGGAGAGAGTGAGCCTGCTGCATTGTCAGTAGAGTGCCTCCAGCTTAGATAAAATGCTCCTGGATGCTAAGTGCTTTGTGTGGGCTCCAGGATGAAAAAACCTTAAATCTGTCCTATTGAATCATGGATTTTTTTCAAAGGTTATAAAAACCTACCTTTATGGTGTATTAAGGTTTGCTTGTTACCTTGCTCTTCTCCACATTGGCCTTGATGAACAAATAACAATTTGGAGTTCATAGCTTTCAATTCTAATTGGGTTTCTTTTGTAAGCACTTGAAGATGCTGGGCCTGACATTATGATGTGAATTTTATACTCTTTTGCCTTATGCGCAGACATGGAGGTGGATGCTCCCCCCCCCCCCCCCCGGAAGTTGAGCGTGTGCAAAGGGAGGAAATACCAAGGAAATAAAAGAAGGCTTGTTCTTATCAAAGGGATTTCTTACCTGGAGACGAAACCTAAAATGAATAATGAATAGGGAAAAGGAGAACAAGGTTGGGGGCCTGCAGGTACCACGGAGGAAGGAGAGATGAGGCCATTCAAACTGGACAAATGTGTCCATCTGGACAAATCATCTCCATTATTAGAGAACTCCTTGGAGGCATAACTTTGGACAGAAGTGGTGGGGAATATGTCAGGACTTACTTGACCTACTGAATTCCTTTCAAAAATTCATCAGCTTGATATTTTGGGTTAGGATCATAAATCCTCAAACTTGGATCAAATAGTGTGTGTACACACGTGTGCGATTGACTCTGGCTTAGGGATGTCGTGTGTCAACAGACCCACAGTTAGGAGATGTGGGTACTCTGTGCCTTCAGAGGACATTTCTGGGTGCTTTCTGACTTAGCAGTTTTCCTCATAGAGCCGAGGAGGTCTTGGGGCCATCTACCCTGTCCAGGCACAGGGATGACTCAGAGTTTACACAAAAATCCCAGGGGCTCAACTTCAGTCTGTCCATCCTCACAGGTACCTAAGGCTTCAAAATTAGCTAGAAAGTTGGTTAAAGCTTCTCATTCCAATTATGACAGTCTGTGTGTAGCTATGTTGCATCTCATCCTGACATTGGCTCATAATTCTGTACTCTTTTTTCCTTTTTGCTGCTCAGAGGTAGTCTCTTTGATCTATTAGGATGCAAACATCTGAACTAAACGTTTTACATGCCAGTAATCTCAGAAGGGATGTGACCTCCTTGCTGCAAAAGTGTAGGGTCCAGAATCAGCTTGGTTGTAAACCAGCATCTGTGTGATTCTCCTAATTGGTCTCTCACCAGCTTCATTCACCTCTGTCTCGCCCTCTATTCTGCTGCCACAGTGATATTTTATAAAAGCAAATATCAGTATTCTCAAGTTTTCATGGCTTCCTGTCTTTTATCCAACTTGGTCTGGCACTCAGAGCCCACCGTGACCTGCCCCTCCCTGCTTCCTCTCCTGGGTTCTCTCCTTCTGTGAACCTGGAAGTCGTCTTGTTCTAGCTGGGATGAATGACTTGCACCTGCTGCCTCCTGCCTTTGTGTCTTTCCCTGAGCCAGTCTGCTCGGCATAGCCTTCCCCAGGCCTGTGTAGCCAACTCTTACCTGTTCCCTAAGGCCCCGCGTGAGCCATTTCCATCTAGAAGCCTCCCACGAGCCCTGCTACCATTTAGAAACTCTTCCTCCTCAATGTTAGAGCACTCTGTCCTAGCGCTTGCTGTAGTGAGCTTAGTTTGGCTGCTGTGTGGGTTGCCCACACACAGTAAGAGCTGGCTTGAGCTCTTACTCATCTTACTTACTTACTTCAGACTTCTGCACAGTGTTTGGAACATGGTAAGTGCTCAGTTAATGTCCTGAGTTAATGGTGCATGACTTTCTGAACACAGCAAGTGTTTTGTCTAATCAGTTACTCCAAATGCTTCAGGTAGAACTAGGACTACCTGTACAAAGCACAGATATATGCTGATTAATTAATTGTGAATAGGTTGATTCCAAAGACAGCAGCAGCCTTGTGTTACTTTCTCAGTGCTTTATATAATTGATTGATAATATCTCTTCAAGCTGCATAATAACCCATTAAGGCAGGTTTTTTTCCTACTTTGAGCTGTGACCCATTACTGGGTCAAGAAAACAATCAAGTGCAACAACAGTAAAACAGACAAGAAATAGACAAGGGGTGGGCATTTGATACAGTGGTTAAGCTGCCAAGTGGGACGCCTACATTGCATGTCAGCATGCCTGCGCTCAGGTGACTGATCTGTTCCAGCTTCCTGCTAATGTGCACCCTGGGTGGCAGCAGGATCTGGCTTGAGTAACTTGGTCCCTGCCACCCACATGGGAAACCTCAACTATTTTCCTGGCTCCTGGCTTTGGCCTGGCCCAGTCCTGGCTATTGTGGGCATTTGAGAAGTCAGTGTATGAGAGATCCCCCCGCCCCACATTTAAAATAAGTAAATTTTAAAGAATTTTAAAAAGAAATAGACAAAACATAAGAGTATATCACATGTTAAAAGGCTTACTCTTGCCTTTCTTTTACTTCCATTACATATGTGACATGTGTACAAGGCTGTAAGGTAAAAAAGGGGATTTCTCCCCATGTGTCTCAGCCAAAAATGTTTGGTAGACAATGCCCTGGCCCCACCTTGGGTTGAAGTGAATCAGGAATAAGATGCCCCTCACTGGGAACAATCCAGCCAGGAGCACCTGCCCTTTCTGTTCCTGTATTAAGCTCATCTGTCGGGATCTGAGATTTTGTTCTGAAATGGGAGACAGAAGATGTTCCTCTGCTGGGAGAGAAATAACTTTCTAGTGCTTTGTGTCCATTTTGTTGTTGTTACAGATTAAGCCATTAAGTAAATCTTTCCCTCCTGAGCCTGTTGCCCCCAGTGCTCTCTGAGAAGGACGAGGACCAACCGGTCTGGGAGATGTCAGTTTTGTCCTCCATTTTGCAATTGTTAAAATAGTCTATCAATCAATTAGCCTTGAATTGCTTCCCAAGGACTCGGAGCTGCAGGGTGGGCTGACTGGTTGGCAGCAGTTTGCATGAGCAAACAGGACAGTCCGTTTTTCTCTCCAGGATCTGAGGGAGACCCCTGGGCTGTGGAGCTGGGCGCTGCGGACCAGCGGAGTGCTGTGCAGCCCGGCAGGCCTTCCCTTTTGTTTCTTACTTACTCTTTTGTTGGCAGGTTTCTAAAAGCACAGCAGTGGCTGGGGTAAGTCAACGTGGCATCCAGGAGATTGGTAAATTTTTCTCTGGATGGCAGTTTTTTGAGGGAGTAGGATGCCGTGGCAATTAGCGTCTGAATGGACTCCAGCCCGTAGCTTGGCAGGGCCTGCAATTTGGTGGAGGAAATATCCCTGGATGGTAAAGGGGAGAAAGGCTTTTTACTTACCTACACATTTTACTCAGAGTGAAACCTCCCCTCCGCGGTGGCATCATTCTAGGGTCTGAGAAATCTTTTCTCCATCTTTCTCTCTCCCTAGTTCTCTTTCAGTGAGTCTCATTCAGGTTGGAATTTAAAACAACTGCATCCCCTCCCCCCCCACCTTCATTTCCCCTTTCCTCCTCTCAAGGCTGCACATAGCTCCTTGTACCTGCATTGCTCACTATTTCCCTCTCTCTCCTCTCTCGACTCCTTTCTCCCCCTCTCCTCTCTCTTCTTGGCAGAAGTTAAAAGAACTGCTTGCTTTGTGAGACAGCAGGCACAAACAGTGACACCAGCTTTGTCTCTGCCACAGGTAGAAAGTGGGCTTCAGAGGTCGGGGTCTTGGATCAAGCCTGCAGGGGTGGGGGTGGGGTGGTGGTGGTGATGGTCCTGACGCCTAGGCCGGTTCCTCTCTCAAGAGCTCTGTGCAGCAGGAGCCATCATCTGCTCGGGAAGCAGAATGTGTGTTCCGCGTTGGCAGCTGGATCACCTGTCCAAAGCCAGCCAGCAGCCCCCTCGCAAGCACAGAACTGTCTGGAAAGCTCAGGCTTTGCAAATGAGGTCCTGAACACCTTGGTTTTAGAAGACTCTAAGTAATGTCCAAGACAATTCCAAACAAGGTCGCTGCAGGAGGAGGGTCAGTGAGAATTGTAAAGGCCTGTTCCTCTTCTAAGTGACTGCTACTGATGCTTCAGGGAGTTTCCAGGAAAACAGCTACCTCCCCCCAACTCGCACACCCCCGCCAGCACTCCACCCCCATATTTAGTGCCCAGTGCATGGAAGAGGATTAATAGATGATCCTCGGCAGATGTGTAGACAGCATGGACTGGTGACAGGCATTGTCTCTTGTGGAACAGTTCTTAAGGCAGCAGAATTTGCTCCAGGGACTTTGGATTAGGCTGCTTTGGGGTCCTTGTTTATTTAGACACAGTTCTCATCTTACTTGGTAGTTCTTATCTCAGACAGGTTAGGGATTGAGCTCAGGACTCCTTGCAGACCTGGTAGGTATTTTTGTTTTTCTGAATGACCACATTTAAAATGAGGATCTTAGAAAACGGAGAGGCTTGGTTACAAGACAGTAAATCTCTGATAGTGGATTTTCTGTCTCAGTGACAGACCAGTGTGGGAAGAGCTGGCAGAAGAGATGTTTCCAAATACTGCTCAAACAGACTTGGAAGGAAGAGGCCTAGGTCTGGTCCTGTGTTCTCTGCACAGCAGTGTGCGTGTCTGTAACGTGCACCATCACTTCTGATCAGCCAACCTCAGCAGCTCTTCAAGAAAGATGGCCATGCAGGGCTTGTCAGGCCACAGCTACTCAGGCACATACCACGCCTGAGCCAGAGACATCTCTGTGTCTACGGGCCAGTGAGGTGGCAGCTTCCTGTTAGAGCTCCAGCTATCACAGGGTGTACTAGACGGGAGAACATTCGACCTGGGAGTTCTGAGTCTGCTGTACTTTGAGTATGAGAAATACAGAAAGGGACTTCTAGGGAAGGGTGGCCAGGAGTGGGGAGACAGCAGAGCACGCAGTGGGCAGGAGCCATGGCGTTAGTGATGCCATTGTAAGCAGAAGTCTTGACGGTGAGTGGAAAGTGGACAGATGGAACTGATGGTGGTGGAAATTAGGAAGCAGAAAGGAGCAGGCATTTCCGATGGGAGCCAGGATGCAGACAGAATAGAAGATTGATGATGGTGGGAATTCAGAGTAGACAGAATCAGATGCACAGTGGCAGGAACTGGAAGTAGATGAATTCCAGGGTTGATAGCAGTCAGCCTTCTCTAGCACTCTAACTTCTCCAGCATGAGTCGGGGACTAGACACAGCCAGGGTGTGATGGTGGAGGGGTAGGAAGCAGAGTCAGGAGTTGACAGCTGGTGGGACTCAGAAAGCAGACAGTCAGGAGTTGACAGTGGCAGGAGCTGGCTGGCAGGGAGAGTTGGGGTTTATAATGGTGGGAGAAAGAAGGTAGATGGCGCCAGGTGTTGACACTGCAGGATCTAGGATATGAAGGACAAATGAGACCTCCAAACTGGAGAGAAAGGCAAAGTCCTCACGGCGGCCCCAGGCTCCCATGACTGCACCCGCCTGGCCTCGGGTCTCTCATCCTCCTCCTGGATCGCTTGGCCATCCTGGCCTTCTCGCTGTTCTCCCAATACACAATGCAAGATCCTGCCTCGGGGCCTTTGCTGGCGCTGTGCCCTCTGTTGGAGTGCTTGCCCTGCAGATAGTCACACAGCCTGCCCTCTCACTTCTTTCCTGTTTGTTTCCTGTTTGCTGCAGTTACATTTTTTTTCAGGACAATATCCTTTTTTTAAGAGAGGCTTTTTTTTTTTTAAACATTTAACATTTTAAAAATGGTAACCCCCTTACCCTCTCCAGAACTCTGGTCCCCACAACCAGGCAAATTTTCCTCCTGCACAACCAATACTGCTTGGCTTACTACATATTTTGTTTACTTGTTAGATCCTGGTCTGTGCCACCATCCTGTGAAGGCAGAGATGTTTGTCTTGTCTTTGTCTTTGCTGTTTCCCTGATGCCTAAACCAGTGCCTGGCACATGGAATGGGCTTGTGAGAGAGTTACCGAATAAATGATTGAATGAATGAATGAATGAATCAAACACCAACAAATGAGATGGGTTGCTCTGTTTCCTCCTGCTTTGCACTGCTAAAAAGCCATGCCTGTTGATCGCTTTGCCTGTTGCGTGTTGTCTTCTCTGTGTCACTGCAGTCTCTTTAAGTGCAAGGACCAGAGCGTTTTGCTTAGTATTCCATCCTCAGCATGGTGCCAGGTGAGCAGGGTTGACAAGTGATGCACAGAGTGCTAAAGAAGGGAGTAGTGGGCCACACTGCCCCTGGAGGGCGTGGCGTGGCTGCCCTGTGGACCAGCCGCCCTGTCTGCATCTGTAGCCTGGCTGCAGTTCTCGCTATCAAATGTTTCTGACTTCGCCAGGACTGGGTCAGGAGACTCCTGCTTGGATTTCCTGTTCCTCCTCGTTTTCCCAGTTGTCTACCCCAAGTCCCCGTTAGCCAAGGGAGCACAGCTCACTCCTTGCACCCACGAGTCTAGTAACACAGCAGCATGGCTGCATTGGTCAAGTGCCAGTGCCATGTCGGATCTCTGGGCTTGAATTCCCTGTAGGGAGCCACTCACTCTGCCAGCACGGGGAGGGGGGGGTGCATCTGCCTTGTGTGGTATCACAGGTTGGATCACGTCCCCTCCACCAAAAATGTGTGTGTTCAAGTCCTGACCCCTCGTACCTCGGAACATGACTTGGCCTGGAGATGGGCTCTTTGCAAGATAATCAAACTAAAATAAGGTCATCGGGGGAGCCCTAATCCAGCATGTCTCATATCCTGTTAGAGAAGGGGAAATTTGGACACACACACACACACACACACAATGCCATGTGGAGTTTGCAGTTATGCTGCCACGATGAGAACCGACCGTTGGAAGCAAGAGAGAGGCCTGGGGCACATCGTTCCTTCACAGCCCTCAGAAGGAACCAACCCTGCCGACACCTTAATTTTTGGACTTCTAGCCTCTAGAACGGTGAGACAACACATTTCTGTTGCTTAGGCCACCCAGTTTGTGGTACATACACTGGGTCTTTCAAAAGCAGCCTTTTCAGATGCAGAGGCTGATGGCCCACCAAGCAGGCTGGGGATGATGTGGCGGGGTACCCAGGCAGACCTGTTGGGGTGCGGTGGGTAGGAAGGGAGGGTGGCACCACCATACTCACAAAATGCTGGGCCCCGTGGCTCCCTGGAAGGCTCCATTGTGCATCTTCTCCAGGCGTGCGTTTTCCTTCAGCTCCCTGTGGGGAAGGACAGTTTTCTTCGCGGTGCTGGCTCTTCTGTGTGAGCACTCGCAGCTGTATACACAGCCTTGGGCCACGTGGTGCACCTGGTGTGCAGGGAAGGTGGCCGGCCGATAAACTGCTCCCCGATGAAATTATGAAATCGCTGGGGTGTGTGTCTGGTCCTGTCTTTTCTCTGCCTCTCCCCCACTTATTGGGTGGAACCCTTTGTTTTACAACTTGAGGAACTCACCCCCTCCTTCCTCGGAGTTACAAAAGTTGATTTCCAGACAGTTGGGCAAGGATGAAAGTGCTGCCCAGGCTGAGGGGTTCAAGTGTAGGCTGCTCTGAATTGGACTCTCAGCCACTGTGACCTTGGAGGTCTTAGAATTTGCAAACATCACTAGACTACTTAGAGAAAATACTTAAAAAGCGAAAGTCAAGCCTGTGCAAGGTCATCTGTTTCATAATATGATTTTCACTGTTTTTCTTACAGATGCACATGTCTCAATGGTTGTGAATAGGGAAGAATTGCAGCCTGTGTAGAAAATCTCCCCATACCCTGGGTGCCCCATGGGTCTGGGCATCGCGGACAATCTTTGCCAGGTATGGTTTGGTGTGGAAACAGTGATGAGGGCCGCTGTTCCTAAGGCCATAGCTGAAGTCACAAGCTGCTATGGCAATAGCTACCTGAGGGCTCTGTGCCATTTAGCCCAAAGCAGCTCCTTGCTGAGCCTGATACTGGTATCTCTAGCTCTTCTCTGCATAGACAAGGGCACTAGAAGAGGAGCCCCTGGGCTCAGGTCGGCCAGCCCCCCCCCCCCCTTTTTTTTTGCGCACTTTCTTCCTGTAAGAAACGAATGGCAGTGACTCAAAGAGCATTCTGGAAAACACCTGATGGTGGGCACAGTGTGCATACATGCACTGTTGGTGTGATGATTTCAAGCATGGAAACGGATTCCTTCACACCACAGTTACAGTGTCACGTGACAGAACAAATCCACCAACAGGCACTGCTCCCCCATCCCACCCTGCCCCAGGATGACCCTGTAATTACCTGTGCTCATCTTACAGCTTTGTGTCTCCGTCATCTTTTGTTCCACACCACGCTTGCTATTTAAAAACTGCAAAAGCCCTGCATGTCACTCTCTGGCTGGCTGTTTTCCACATGCTTCTACTACACCTTCCCCTTGGAAACTCTCAGCCCTTCCCCCAGAATGCACCTGCCAGTCGCATGGCGTCCCGTCCCCTGGGTGTATTTCCACTTTCAAAGAGATGAGGTTGTCAGAGTCAATTGCTGTTTAAAATCTAAATCAAAAGAAATTTTCCTCCCTAAACCTTCACGACTCTTCTTCCTGATTCAGTTTGTTTTAATTATGCTCACTGATAGTTATAAATCATTGAAACTCGGCTCTGCAAGCGAATAATCCGCATATCAGCCAGGTCAAATTAATTGCTCAGATTTCACGACAGTGCATCCTACATGTTTTATTAAAACTCAGATCTTTCTGTATACTGAATAACTCTACATTATGTTATTTGTCAGAAAGTAAATCAGACCCATTTATTACGTTTCCTGGGGGCCACTTTTGAGAATTCTCCCCAGTGAAGTGACCTTGCAGGTGTGAGAAGCAAAGGCAGGCTGACCCTTCAAAGTGCAGTGGGAGAACCCGCAAACTCCACCAAAGCCTTCTAAGCGGGGTGCTCTGGGGACGGTGGGCACTGACTCCTGCAGCCCTGGAGGGGGAGTGGGGCTACCCCTTTCTGCTCAGTGCAGCTTTGGTAAGCAGGGGCCCGGAGAACTCTGCAGGACTTCCTGTCATTGTCCTTGGCAACCCTGGACAGGCCTATGTGAAGAGTCTTCGAAAATGTGCCATAGTTTATGAAAAAAATAAAACTATACATGGATTTCAGAAGCATTTCGCACCAACATAAACTCATCTTTTGGTCCGTTTCTATGAACTTTTTGAAGATCCTTCCTGGGTTCCATCAAATGCAGGTGATGCGCCATAGTCACTTGTTGAGTGACTCACGGAGCAGAGAGGACACACATGCCTCGAGTTCAAGTTTGGTGGAAGCAGACTCAGCTGGCCAAGGTGAACCGTTTGTTAACCCCGAGTTCCCGTTAATGAGCCCTTCATCAAGTCGTGACGTCAATAAGAAAACAAGGGCAAATTTCATTCCACACTGGAAGGACAAGGTTTACAAAGCTATCGTTTCTTGAGCACTAAATATGTGCCAGACCCTGTGCTAAGCACCCACAAATGCAATTTTCATTATTCATGTAATTATGTAACAGATACCAAACGAGCACCTACTATGAGCCAGGCACTGGTGTTATGTACTGAAGACACAAAATAGACCCATGCGTGTTGGTGGGGACATCTTGGAAAGAAGCCCCTAAGTGGTTTGATCTTACAAATGCGGACACTGTGGCTTAGAAAGTTTCAGTAACTTACTCTGGGCCATACAAGCAGATAAATAGTGAGGTTTAAGTTAGAGTCTCAGTCAGTGCCTCTTAGGCCTGTTGTCTTAGCCATATAGCAGGGCATCAACACAACAGGATCTTTGGGTAAAAATCTATAGTTAAAGATAAATAGCAGGCCACATAGAGTCGTGCTACTCAGCTTCAGAGTGGCAGCGGCAGCAGCAGCACCTCTTGGGAGCTTGTGGAAATGACAGATTCTCCAGCCCTACCAGACCCATGAAATGAAATCACTGGGAGTGGGCCCTGGGAACCTGCTTACAATCTGCAGGTTACTCTTACGTGTGTGAAGGTTCGGGAAGCATTGCTGCACAACATGATTTACACAGCTTGTTTATTTTTTTAAAACTCTTCTCTTTGTTTTCCTTAATTTTGGCTTTTCATGGACTCTTAGCTTTTATTGTGTATTGAGCGGGCGTCACCTCGCCCTGCGCCTGGTATGGTTCAAAGGAGCTTTGTCAATGTGCCACTCTTTTAGAACAGGAGCCACAGAATGAGAGGTTGAGAGCCATGACAGGCATAATTAGTAGGGTCTCTCCCTTTGAACTAAAGGCTGATAATCCCAGGGACTGGCGGAGGGAGAGATGGAAACACCAAGTGGAGAAGGGGCTCCCTCTCCACCAGCAGTAGGGGGTGGGCGCCTCTGAGCCGGTCTGTTGTGGCTGATTAGGCTGATAAATGGTGTCACTCGATTTCTCTGCAGTGGGGCCTGGGGGAGAATTTCTTCCTTAAATCAGGCTGCCGCTAACACACCGTCAGCCTGAGCAAGGGGGCTCGAGAGGGAGGCTGTGAGCTGGAGGAGGCCTAAAGTAGGCTGTTGAATATTTCAGCAAACTGTCAACTTCAATGTATTGAGCCGGCATCGATCTTTGAAATCACAGTGCTCTGGGCTTTCCAGCCAGCCGGTTGCCTAGTAACCTGCGTGCAACACCGAGGACTAGCCACTTGAAAGTTTAGTTTTGCCCTGAGTTCCTTGCTGAAGACTGGATGTGATCTGGTAGCCAGAGTAAGATTTCATTTTTATTCATGAGCTGGGGAAATAAGCACATACTTACAGTGAAATTAGCGTCGTCCCATTGAACGCGTGACTCTGTACTTCTTCAAATCCATTTCCGTAGAGTTTGCTGAAGGAGGGAGGGAGAGAGGGTTTAGGCACGGGCAGGAACTGAGAGAATCACAGTTTGGAAGCACACATTCCTTCTGCCGTGACATTTATGACGAAGCTAATCACCAGCATTCGCAGCGTCTAGCTTTGTTTCTCTAACATTTTAGAATCTAAGGGCTCCTTGGGGATGAAGCCGAGCCTTTTGCTCAAGTTTACCTCTGCTTGCACTCTCGCCACCACCGCCAGTTTGTTAAGTGCTTTATTAAATGCCAAGTGCCCAACCAGCCATCGTATATATATTTTACGATCTAATTGTCATCATCACTTCCATTATGTTGGCACGAAACCCAAGCCTCATCATTGTTGTGCAGCTCGCTTCAGGTCAAGGAAAGCAGGGGCAAGGCTCTCTGAGGCCTGAGCTGGCTGCCTGTGCCCTTCCTCCGGCTCTGCAGGCCCCGTGTGGGCACCTGGGCTGAGATGCTGGAAGCTGACAGCAGCGGAAGGCTCAGCACTGAGTCAGCTTTTCTTTTTCTCGGATGGGTATATGGTCTTGCTGGTGCCCAATCTGGTTCCACATCCCATGTGGCTGTCGATGTCCATAAATAGTTCTGTAAGACCTATTAGTGGACTGTGAATTCAGTTTAGTTGGGTGGTGCCAGCATCTTTAAAAACGAAATAGAACAGAAAGCGACAAATGTAAAGTATTGGAGTATATTGGAAGTGAGTGGAGTGTGAATACTTGTGAAATGTTGTCTCACCATTTTTATATGGCATATAGACACATGTGCATTTGTACATGTATGCCATCGTCCACACACATGTATGCACACACACTTACTTCCAGCCAGAATAAAACTCAGGAGTCTCTTTGGAACGCAGGTGGGAAAGGAGAGATCGAGGAAGGAATGAAGGGGGGGATCAGGTGGCACCTATTCATCTTGCAAAACAGGAGCTGGGCCCAGAGAGGGAGGGGACTTGTGGAAAGCCCATGGCGGGCAGAAATGGGGCCAGGACGCGCCGCCTGGGGCCACTTAGAAGGCACCAGTTTTGCAGGCTGTGGTTGCTTCCCCCAGGTCCTCATGGCCCTCCCTCCCTCCTCCTCCTCCAGGGCCGTTTTCGATGTCACGTTCTCAGCGTGGCCTTTCCTGACTGTGCTGTTTAAAGTATCAGCAGAATTCCCTGTCCCCTGTTCCTGACTTGTTCTCCCTCCATTGCTTTAGCACCACCTAACCCGTGATTATATTTTGGCTTGTTCTACCCCCCGCAGCAGGACACCGGCCTCACAGAGCAAGGATTTCTGTTTAGCAAGGATTTTTGTTTAGAAGCCTCTGCATCCCTGAACAGTGCCTGGCATTGGGATAGATGTTCAGCGGACAAATGAGTCTCAGGATGATGAATTTCCTGCTGCAAATCACAGCCAAACAAGTTGGGAAGCCACAGTGCTCGTGTGAATCCTTTGTGAACAATGGTCTAAGAGCCGAGTGAGAAGCGGCTGTGGTGAGGCATATAATCAAGTTCTTTGTGTCTGGCGAGACCCAGCATCTCTTTGCAGGGTGGCTGGCAGCTGCAGGGCCATGGTAGGCACAGGCTGGGGGCGGGGCGGGGTGAGACCTGAGAAATGGTTCAGACCCATGCTCCACCTGCTCTTGCTCTCGCAGGCTGTTGTCTGTGAGAATTGTACCTTGTGGTATATGTGAGCGTGTATGTGATACACATATGCTTGTATCTATCTATATATAGATAGATGTAGAGTGTGTGTGTGTGTGTATGTGTGTGTGTGTGTCTGTATGGTCTCTTCCCATTAATCCACAGCACACCTGATGCAAACTAGCATGGCCCTTGTCTTGCAGTATAATATTTGAGCTCTGAAATGTAAATTGGAGACAACAAGGCAATTGTCAAAGCATCTTCATCAGGTTGAGCTCAAGAGAGCCGAGAAGCATTTTTAACCCATTCCTTAAAACCCCCCTACCTTGCAGGGTGCCAGGCACCCAGCAGGGGTCAGCGTGAAGCAGTGGCCTTGCCCTTCCACAGGAGGGCGGGGTGGGGGGGGCTTCCTTCACCTCCCTGTGCTCACTCACTCCCTTCTGGAATTCTGAGTTGATAGCCTCACACACCAGCTCTCAACCTCTGCTTGAGGTACCAGCATCCCATATGGCCGCCAGTTTGAGTCCCGGCTGCACCTCTTCTGATCCAGCTCTCTGCTATGGCCTGGGAAAGCAGTGGAGGATGGTCCAAGTGCTTGGGCCTCTATACTCGTGTGGGAGATCTAGAAGAAACTCCTGGGTCCTGGCTTCAGATGGGCCCAGCTCTGGCTGTTGTGGCCATTCGGGGAAGGAACCAACAGATGGAAGTCCTCTCTCTCTGTCTCTCCCTCTCTCTGTCTGAATTCTACCTCTCAAATAAATAAATAAACAAACCTTAAAAAACTGTACTCAGAATATTACTCTTTGGCTGTCTATTGTCACGTTGGAGGTCACATTTCTTTTAGATGAAAGAATCATGCCTGTTTTGTCTTTGAACTTCCTTGAAATGTGACTTCTTAGAGTTTAGGCCAGTATTTATCAAAGGATTTTCCTTCATCTGTGGATTCAGAATCTGGTCGTACCCAGGAATAAGCACCTTTATAACAAGCTCTCACAGTGCATGCTGGGAACCCCTGCCCGGGGGTATATTGTAGGGTGATGCAGTTCTCATCATTTTGAGTTGAAAAGTCGATGGTCGGTTGCTCAGAATGGAGCCAGCATCTAGTCCGCTTGTTGCCTTCTAAGTGATGGCACTCGCTGTGTGGTGAATGAAGGGGAAGTCACCCCTTCTCTGTGATGAGCAAGGCAAAGCTGCCTGCCTGCACTTGTCCTCAGGCCCATTCCCTTTTACTGCTGGGTGCTGCCCTGATCCTAGTTTTGGCACATTTGGGCATTTTTTTTAAATTGTTTTTTAAAAAATTTGTTGTTGGATTCATAATATCATTGCTCTAAGGGAAGCCTTGCAGTCAAGTCTACAGGCACTGAGCTTGACTCCCTCCCAGCTCTGCTACTTAACAAGCTGAGTTACTTTGGCCAAGTTGCTTAACCAGTCTGGGCTTCAGTTTCCTAATCTGAGTATAGGGTTGACAGTAATCGTGTTGGCCCTGTAAAGTTGTTGTGAAGATGAAAAGGGTAAATGTATGTTAAGCTCCTAGAAGCAGGTTCTTCATGCATCGGCCTCAGTATTACTGTGCTTTGCAGTGACCGCCAGTGCTCCGTCCAGGACAGAGGCCAAGAACTTCCATTTCCAGGCTCTGCACAGGATTTCCAGGGAACGCAGGCCAGGTGTTTAATGGAATTGTTAGTCTTCTGTTCCCGGGCAGAGCAGGTCAGGTCAGTGGCCCGGGTGCCCCACAGGTGCTTTCTCTCTGAGGGCCCTTAACCTTTGGGTGTGTAGTATCGACATTTTTGCATTTAGACAATTTTCATGTTTTGAAAAAGTTAAAATATCCTGGGTCGTGCTTCTCCCAGTTCTCCAAAGAATGCCGCTCACTCTTTCCCTCTCAGCTGCTCCTTCCACACAATAGCTCACTGCCTTGTTTTAGAGAAACTACAAACATGGGTGGGGGGCCGCATGCTGTCAGGCCCACAGGGGGCTTTTAATGCCCTTCACAGCATCTGGAGAGTCACTTCAGATGACTGTTCCCCAAAACATCATGGTGTCGGAATTTGCTATAAGGGTTCTGTCACTGGCACAGAAATGAAGGTATCTCCCCCCACCCCACCCCTCTATACTAATAGCTGCCCTAACTCTAAAGCATTGTCTAGGTTCTCTGTTCAAATGTCAGTAACTGTGAATCAGGCAGAGAGAACGGCATCTTTTTATTCAAAATAAGATTCAGGCTTTAGAAATTAATCACAAGTGATGCTCTCATTTTGAATGTTGCCTTCTAATGAACTCAGAATTTTCCTGGGACTCTGGAAGCATTTCTGGGGTTATATTAGGATCATTAGGTATTCTGCCATGGTTTCCTCTTGGATCCTATGGCCACTTGGTTTTTAGATGATTTACAGATCTGCAGGGTCTCAAAAAGTGGCCCCTTCGTGGAGGGGAAGGCATACTTTTGAAGAAAATATGGCTGATATAAGCAAATGTTTATCAAATGACCTCACAAACAGCCTCCTAAAAGGGGGATCCCATATTCATCATGTTCCCCCCATGTAGCACTTCGCTCAGGGTCTTGTGATTCCTCATGTTTGCAGATTCTTCTCTTGTGGATGTCTGGGCAGTGGCTGTGAGAATAATGGCCACGCAGTCACTGCTGTGTGCTGCCCTGGCCCTAGTTTTCAATAATATAGAGCAAGGTCACCCTTCTTCTGTGGGGCTCACAGTCTCTGGAGCAAGGAGTTGCTCTTCCTGTGGTAGGTGTGCCTCCTGCCTTTCAACAACTCCGAGTTTTCATGCCTCCCTCCTCCTCAGCCAAGTTCATGTCAACTTATGTGACTTTTCCATATGTAGAACTAAAGAGGGTGACAGGCATTAGAAGTATGCTGATAGTAGTGGATTCTAACAACTGACTAAAGCTGTTGAGAAACCCACATTCCATAATGATACTTAAAATGAGACAATGGAAAAGGAAGAAAAAAAAGACAAGGCTCTTTTTACAGAAACATGCCAGCTGGTCAGTGTAGGGTATGGTAGAGCATACAGCTCTGTATTTTCTAACCCCTTTGTTGTAACCTGAATAATTACAGGCACTGAAACCATCAGATGGAAGGTTTTTGGCTAACTGAACAGTCACAGCAACTCAAAGTACCCCACCACGGTGTACTTGTTAATAACAAAGGGAAAAATAAATGGCTAAGGGCAACACATAAACTTTGATGCAATTTTTTCTTTAAAAATCTCTTAAGAGATTTTTACTGGAGTTTGGATTATAGGTTGGAAGATGTAATTAAATCCTTCTTGATTTTCTTAGATACAATAAAATTATAGTAATGTAAACATCCCTATTTGGATATATACATGCTGAATTATTTAGAGATGAAATGTCATGATGCTGATAATTTTTTGGGCACTTTGGCAAAGAAGACACATTGGGACTGCATTGTGGTGCTGGCACCCCATGTTGGAGTGCCATTTCGAGTCCCAGCTGCTCTGTTTCCCACTCAGCTTCCTGGTAGTGTGCCTAGGAAGGTGGCAGAAGATGGTCCAAGTGTTTGGATCCCTGTCACTTATGTGGTAGACCAAGATGGAGTTCCTTGCTCCTGGATTTGTCCTGGCCCACACCCCTGGCTGTTGTGGGAATTTGGGAAGTAAACCAGTGCATGGTGAATGGAGATAAAGTGTATGGGGGATTTGTGATACTGTTCTTTCCATTTGTCAGTGGAAAGAGAAATGGTGGGTGATTCCATTTGCAAGTTAAAAGCTTTAAAGTGAAAAAATATTTTAAAGGAGGTGATTAGATTCAGTGTTTTCAGTATGGTCTAAAACTTGAATGTTAGCTTTTAACTGTGGTTAATTGTATTAATTGTGTAGTTGAAAACTTGTGATTGGATTTGCACAAGACGTTATTAATAATCCCACCAAGGGCCGGCGCCGCGGCTCACTAGGCTAATCCTCCGCCTTGCGGCGCCGGCACACTGGGTTCTAGTCCCGGTCGGGGTGCTGGACTCTGTCCCAGTTGCCCCTCTTCCAGGCCAGCTCTCTGCTGTGGCCAGGGAGTGCAGTGGAGGATGGCCCAAGTGCTTGGGCCCTGCACCCCATGGGAGACCAGGAGAAGCACCTGGCTCCTGCCATCGGATCAGCGCAGTGCGCTGGCCGCAGCGCGCTGGCCGTGGCGGCCATTGGAGGGTGAACCAATGGCAAAGGAAGACCTTTCTCTCTGTCTCTCTCTCTCACTGTCTGCTCTGCCTGTGGAAAAAAAAAAATAATCCCACCAAGGGGCTGGCATAGAGGTGCAGTGGGTTAAGCTGATGCTTGGCACCCCATATTGGATTGTTGGTTTGAGTCCTGGTTACACTTCTTCCAATCCATCTTCCTGCTAATATGCCTGCGAAAGCAGCAGAATATGACCCAAATGATTGAGCCTCTGCCTCCCACTCGGGAGCCCAGGATGGAGCTCCTGTCTTTGGCTTGGCCCAGATCTGGTTGTTGCAGACATTTGGGGGGTGAGCCTCTTCCTCTCCCTCTCCCTCTCTCTTCTTTTCAAATATACAATAAATATTCTTAAAAATGATCCCACTGAATAGACAGAGATGTATATAGGTGGCCTGACTTGACTAAGGCTGTGTGGCTGGGCTAAGGCAGAGCAAGAACTAAAACCCAGGCTTCTGGGCTTCTCACTTCAGTGCCCATCAGTCTTGCCTGTGGCTGCCACAGGTGCAGCCCAGGATCTCGCTGTGCTTTGCTGGACACCCTTTCTCTGCTGGGCCTTGGGAAGCCACTCGCCGTCCCCTTTCCTTCTCTTGGTGGAGTTCACCTGTCGATGAAGGTTGTCCCCTCTCTGAGACAGGCACAGCCAGCCACTTAGCCTGATTTAAAGGTGGTGCAGCTAAATCCGGCTCACTCGGGGAGGGCATTTCAAGGTGGTCTCTTGAGTAGATTTAGTGAAAAGCCCAAGTGACTATCAAGGGACATAAGACTATAATGCATAGTTTAGCGCCAGCCCCACTGAGCTACTTGAGCATCGGGTGGAGTGTTTTGTTTTCACTAAATGAGCTCACAGTTGCTAAAGCTTTAGGTAGGGGGAGGGCAGGCCATGTTCTGTGGAAAGCATAATCCCCACTACTACTCAGAATCAAAACAGGAGGCTGCCATTCATTATTTGCTGATTAGAGAGTGGGACTTCTTTGCTGAGAAAGTGAAGCTTTCCTCTCCAAGTGCAGTACCCCTCTTCCGGCAGCATGCTCCACACCATTCTTGGCTGAGAGAAGGGCCCATCCAGCGGAGAACAAGCTCCAGACAAATGACTGGGCACTGCCCTTCCAGATGGAGGGCCATCAGGGAGGAGGGGGCCAGAGCATAGTGCTCCCCAGGCTGGAAACCAGGGATCTGCAGTCCTCATTGATTTCAGAGGTGAGGCAGTGACACCCAGCTGGCACGCACCCTTCTTGAAATCATCACCAGTAAACTACCGGCTCTGCGTGCGTGGTGGAATGTGACCGTGAGAGGAGTCTGGTGATGCCTTGGATTTGGAGGGTGGCCCCGTCTTGGGAGCTCAGAGTTCCCTAAGGATTATTCCCGTATTTCTTTTCTTCCTGAACCTCCTCCATGTCTCTGCCCTACTTCACCTCTGCTCCCTTCAGTGACTTACCTGGGAGGAGCACCTGTTGGTTCCTAGTTATTTTTTACATTTGGATCACAATTGAAGGGAATCTTGAATACTTGTGGTCTTTGGCTGGTCTCTTCTAATTACTTTTTGGTCCTCTGCCCTCCACCCCAGCCTTTACATCAACTTACTTCTGCTTCTCTTGATTTACTTGTATCTGTCTTCATTTATGGGCGGGCTTGTGGTACCATGGGTTAGGCTGCTGCTGTGATGTTGGCATCCCATATGGGTGCCCAATTAAGCCCTAGCTGCTTCATTTTGAATCCAGCTTCCTTTAATGTGCCTAGGAGGGCAGTGGAGGATGGCCCAAGTGCTTGGGCCCTTCCCAGTCACGTGGGAGAACAGATGGAGTTCTAGGCTCCTAGCTTTGGCCTGGCCCAGCCTTGGCTCTTGCGTCCATTTGGAGAACAATCCAGGGGATGGGAGATCTCTTTCTGTGTCTCTCCCTCTCTTTCTCTATGAATCTGCCTTTCAAATAAAAAAAATCTATCTCTTCACTTACATCTCATTCCAATCCATCATCTCTCTTTTTTTTCTGAAAGGGTGAGCTCACTTATTACCTTGTGCAGTTCTGCCTTGGGCTGTGACCACAGGTGTGAGCGGATGTGCATGGGAAGAGCAGAACTGAGTACAGGCCACTGGACTTTAGATAGAAATAAATGAGACATAGCACCCAGGAGGCGGCTTCTGAATGGTGGGACAATGGAGGGTACCCCCTGGAAGATAGATGATGGGTTCCAGAGGGAAGGACATCAGGCAGGTGCACCTTGAAGGGAATGGATTGAGCTACCTTAGTCCAGTGTCTCTCAAGTTGTAATGTACCTGTGAGTCACTGGGGAGCCTTTGAAAATCCATATTTGGAGTCAGGGAGTCTGGGGTGGGCCTGAGCTTTCAGAAGATGCCTGGACCGAACTTTGAATAGCAAGACCACACCAAACACCCTGAAAGGGACAGGGCCTATGAGCCTGAGAACCTGATGAAGGGACTAGCAAACAAAGAGACATTATTTTGAAGTATTTAGGGATAGAAGGATAGATGGTGTTGCGTCAGAACAAAGTGAGAGGGATCCAGGGGAGGCAAAAAACAGAGAGAGGAGAGATAGAGACAGAGACAGAGGCAGTTCAAGGTCCATGGATAACTACTTGACTTACTTTGAGGATCTCCTTATAAACTCTTACCAGTTGAAATCTTGGAATTTCCATGTTCTCCTTTAACCGGGGCAGCCACTGCTCTCTAGGCGTGTCTTCCCAGCCTCAGGGTATTCCAGGAGGCAGGGAGCAATTTCCTTAGGTGGAAGTTTAGTACTGAAAGTCTTGGAGCCCATTTTATTAATTGCAAACAGGATTGGCTGGTGGGTTAAGTGAACACATGAGCCAGTTTCAATCCCGCACAGCTCTAGGTCAAGATGAGTGAGGGATGTGGGGCAACAGGAGCAAGAGCTCACGTTCAGCTGGAAGTGAGACTAGCAGGAGGCTGCAGGGCAGAACAGGAATCTGGGAGTTTACTCACAGTGTTACGGATTCGTTATTCATCCCTTGAAAAGCATTTCCTGGAATGGTGGTTATGTGTAAGTTATCACAAATTTCCCTTGAGGAAAGAAATGAGAAATATTTACTTTCCAAATTTCAGCTGCAAATTTGAAACTGTTATGCATAAGCAATCAGCCTGGTACTCACAGAATGAAATTAAATTCCGACGAGAAGATCTTCGTAACATCTGGAAGCTCGCGAATGCCTGTGTTACAGATGCTCCTGTGATTTGGGGCAGGGTGGTGATGGGGCAGAGAGTGGGAAAGAGTGATTGTCATGAAGGCACAAAGACAAAAAAGGAGGAGAAAGGCGCTTTTCAAATGCTAGTTTCATATTTCACTAAATATACATTGAGTTTGGCTTTATCAGTAACACGTTTACCTGACGAAGATTGTCAGAATTTTAAAGCCCCTAATGCTATGGGAGAAGATGCTTTGATGACTTATATTTAGAGAAGTAGGCACTGAGGCCAAGCTTTAAGGTCATCTTCATGTGTGTTTCCAGCCTGTCTTTTCCTATTAAATCAATCGCATTTTCCTAATGTGTTGCATTCCATTTCCTGTTGGTAGATTCTTCTGTGTTCTTAGTAGTTCTAGAAAGCATTTCTGTACTTTGGAGCAGGTTTTAACTTGAACACTTTGGGAAGATAAATCTCATGTGAGAAATCCCTATTCCTGATTATTAAAAAACCTTTATTTATTTAGCTGCCTTGCTAAGTGAGCTTTGGAAAGTTCTTCCTTGTGCCTTATTGAAATCGTTCAATGTTCTTTTGGTATTTGGAGCTGCTCAAGGCTCCTCTTTTATTCCTCCCACCATTTTTTTTTTAAACTCCAAAGAGTAGAGGGCCTTAGGTCATAGGTGAAACTGAAGAATATTTTATCACAAAAACGGGACTCCTTTCGATGTGTCCAGGATGAAATCCAGGCCTCTGGATTTCCCCCACTGAGTTTTAAATTGTCCAGTCTTGGCCCAACTTGATATGAACTGCCTGGCACCCTGGTGACCCTGTGCCCTGACCGTGGCTGGGGATAACAGTGTGGGTTTTGACCGCACTCTGGACTTGCACTGTGGGAATATCAGATTATTGCGTGAAAATGCTGCTTAATAAAGACAGTGATAGATATAAGGGCTGCCAGGGTCATATTTAGTTCAGTGATTTTCTTATTTTTTTGTTCCAAAGTGGTTGGTGCTGCCGGGTGCTTATGTAGACCCCTCTGCAGGTTCAGAGAAGCAAAACACGTGAGCATGGAATTGTCCGGTTTCAGAGTTGCCTAAGGGTCCATGCTGTTCCCCACCCACCCTGCCTGGCAGCTCCTGGGGGATGCCCTGGAACGAGACTGCTGCGGTGGCTCACCAGAGAGATAGCTCTTCCCTCTCCCCCTGGTTTTTGTTTTTCAGGAAGAGTTGGGTGTGGAATTTACATGCTCTGGGGAGTTTATGAAATTCAGTTTGCCGGAAAGAAGAGAGAGGACATCGACGTTAGGGGGAATTGAGTTTTGTGATGTGAATCGGGATGACTTGTGAGAAGGAAGAGCCATGGTGAGAAATTTGTAGATTGTATCAAATGTCAGGAATTGTGAAATTGCTGGCAAGGCAGTGGCCCTGTTGGGCTACAGTGGTTAATTTAATATGGCTAACCTGTGGGTTTAGGAAGATTTAATAGGAAATAGAAAATAATAGTTTAATTTACCTGGCACAGTGCCTACCTCAATGCAGGGTTTAAAATGTTTTCACTGAATTAATGAAGGAACAAATGAGATGAAGGTGGTCTGTCATTCTCAACCAGTGCTGGGGGTTGAATCAGAACTGCCTCTCCCACTTCCACCTGCCCTCTGCCCACCTTAGAGATTCTGAGTCACCCTCACTAAAGTGTTGTGATCCTCCCAAACCTTTGTCAGCTTTAAAGATCACTGCCAAGAGGCAGTAATTGTGGCAGAGTGGGCTAAGCCACTGCCTGCAATGCTGGCATACCATATCGAAGTGCCGGTTCAAGTCCTGGCTACTCCACTTCCAATGCAGCTCTCTGCTAATGCACTTAGGAAAGCAGCAGGAGCTGGCCCAAGTACTTGGGCCCCTGCCAGCTGTGGGGGAGACCCAGATGGAGCTCTGGGCTCCTGGGTTTGGCTTGGCTAAGCCCAGGCTGTTGTGGCCATTTGGGGAGTAAACCAATAGATGGCAGAGTGCTCGCTCACTTGCTTGCACTCTCTCTCACTCTATCTTTCATATAAAGAAATTGATCTTGAAAATAACAAAACAAAATCAGTACCTCGGGGTGGTGTTCTGCTCGGGTGTTGGAGATAAAAGTAGAGAGGCACTTCCATGTATGCAGAAGCACCCTGCGTGATGGTTGACGGGAAGTGCTGATTAAACGTAAATCACAAGCCTGAAGAGGAACGTGCCAACAGTGCTAAGTGGGCAAGTATGGTTTAAAGAGTCTTTCCAACCTTTGAATTGCTTTAATTTTCATGAGATGCCCATCTTTCCCTCCCAGATTACTTGAAAAAGGAAAATTTCTCACAGGTATTTTAACCGGGGGAGATTTGTAAATGCTCCAGGCTCGATGTATACCAGGTTTTTGGTGTTCTGGATCAGTCTGTTAAAAGAGAGGGAAGAGCAGGCAGCAGTTTAGTAGATGTGTGTTGTTTGGAGTGCATCAGACTAGCAGTTGTTGGCTGAAAACGGGGTCCACAAAACCTAGCAACTTCATACGCTTGAGACGAACTCCTGGGACTCGGGATGGAAGTGGCGTGGTGAGAGCCAGCTGGCTATTTCCAGGGGGCTCTGCTCTCAGCTCCTGAAGAGACAGGGCTAAGCAGTCGCAGCTGGGAGGCTGTCTCTGTGAAGCTCTTCCCATCCCCTCCAGGCATCACCAACATCCAGGGCTCCTGGTCAAGCAGATCCCACTGGAGAGTCTGCACACTGGGGATACAGGGGGCTCTGCTCTCAGGAGAGGTGAGTGAAGTAGTACCCCCCGCCCCTTGTAGGCACACTAATCCTCTTCTTATTGGGCTGGCACCCACACTGCCCGATTATTTGAACAGGCACCTGTTGGTGGAGCAGCCCAGAGCACAGGCCAGGGACTTGGAGTTGTAGAATGTTATATCCATGCTGCCCAGCCTCCTAACTTCCCCTAAGCTAGTTTTCCCTTCTGTAAAGTTGGAACCCTCATGTCACCTCTCTCCCTGCCTCACAGGTTGGTAGGTTTTGAACAACAGAATAGGTAGGGATAATACAGGATGGGCTGTGCAGAATATAAAAGCACGCTCAGAACACCGCAGGGCCATGGCTGCCCTTCCTCGGTCTCTGGAATGGCTGTGAGCCTTCAGGAAGTGGCCACAGTTGCTGAGTTCTGTCTACTCTGGATCCAGTACAAGGCTTTGGTTTTCTTAACCCAGGCAAAAACCACTGGGATAAATGAGAATTACCCTACTAATCTGGAAATGAGAATTACCCTTGTAATCTGGAAAACACAGTGTAATGGTTAGGAACATGTATACTTTGGAGCCAGCTTGGTTTTGCAGCCTGATCCTACCAATTGATATCACTTTAAGCTCCTTGTGCCTCCGTTTCCTTACAGGTTGATTTTTAAGGAGTAAGTGTGTGTGTCAAGGTCGCCATATGGCTCCAGCCCTGTGAATGTCTCTCACCGTAGTTGTTAGAGTCCAGAAGCTGAGTTCTTTGTGTCCTGTCACATGGTTAAGAAGTAACAGCTCTCGAGTGTGATCTAGTTTTACTGACTCCAAGTCTAAGGCTTCTTCCGCCTTACCACAGTTACCTAGCATGGGTGCCTATTTTCATTTAAATGAAGGAGATGGCCTCTGACTCTTGAGATGTGAATGGTATTTCGTTGCAATTATTTTTATAGCTACTGAGTCAGGCACTCAGGAACCAGGCAGGGCATGATGTTGGTGTAACACAAGACTTTTAGCACTTAAAGATCTTCTGGGGTCTGACCTTAGATGATGACTCATTTGTATGTTCATTCATCCCATTAGCATTCATTCAATACCTGTAGGTGGCAAGCACTATTCTAGGTGCTGAGATCACAGCTGTGAGTCACAGCAAAGGGAGTAGACTTGGGGCTCACCTCCTAGTCTCAGGGCCTTTGAGAATTCACAGGCTTCCCCATAAGCTACCTCATTTCTTTTTCTGTTGAGGAATGTTTCTTTGCATCACTGGTAGCCTTCTTCATCATTAGCTGTCCTGGTGGGTCTCAGTAAACACTGAGGCTCAGCATTAACTAGGAAGTCTATTTAAACTGTTTGTTTTCAGGTCTGGGATAGGCCTGTCCCCTGCGATTGTAGTGTGCCCCCATGCAATTCTGCTTCATGACCAAATCCAGACTATACCTTCTACATTTAAATACCCATTATTGTGGCTTTCCTGGTCATTGTTTGCTGAGATAGTCTCACCTCCCTGGCCACACTGTGATCTCCTGGTGGACATTAGTATTTTAGGTTTTCTCTATTCCAGCAGCACCTGGCTTTGGACTGGATTTCTAGCAGCTACTCATGTACTTATGCATTAATTGTTCTCTTTTGATAATTACTCATTGGACCACATATAAGAAGGCTTTGTGAGATAACAAAAAATGCATGGGCTTTGAAGAAAGGCAGACCTGGAGTGAAATCCTAGCCCTTCCATTGTCTGAAGTGTCACAGTGTTCAAGTTACCCCACCTTTCTAAGCCTCAAATCCTTTCCTTGATCAGAGACGGGATAATTTTCCTGTGCTACAGGGTAGCTGTGGGGATTAAATGATGAAACCTAGAGGAAATGCCAAGCACAAGAGCTCAAAGAACATGTGATGCTAACATCCTTCCCCTTCTCTTACTTTCAAAACTCCTAAGCAAATGAAGTTAGGGTGTCTTTCTAGAAGCTCAAACTTGAACTACACAGTCAGAGGTAAGAGACTTAATTTCTGATTCCAGTTCTGACACTAACTTGATGCATGACATCAGAGAAATCAGCTAATTTCTTCGGGCCACAAGTTCATGCTCTGAAAACTGAATTGAGCCAGTCATATCCCATCCTTTTTGTGAACTGGGGTAAAAATGATCAGTTGGGAAGAATTTTTGAAGAGTTAATTCCAGAACATCATTAAAGCAACAATGAAGCTGACAAACCCAACGTATACATGCCACACACAGGGCTTTTACCTGGTAGGTATTCAAGAAGCATTGAATGATAGAATTTGCCAAATAGCCCCCAATGAACCATTTCATGATTTCCAAGCTTTCTGAATTCTCCCACTACCCCAGGAACTCCATACCATCCCTTCCATAAGGCAAGAGCTATCTGGCAGGACTTTACAATGTCAATTTTAATTTCCAACTTTGTGTTGTGATGTTTCAGAGTTTATACAGCTCCCAGGGAGAAGCAGTTGTCACCATGGCAACCTTCAGGCCACTGCAGTGAGAGAAATTAGTGCCTGCCCAGACCTAGTAATTGCTGTAGTCTTTTCCTCTTGGATTCCTAGCAGTAGATGCTTGAATACAAATACTGAGTGGGCTCCAGCCAGCGAGGGTAATAGTGTACAGCAATAAACTATCTGTTAGCTGATGCTTACATTTCAGACAAATTGAGGAGGTTGTCAAAGGCATTAGCTTCTATCCTTTCCAGGGAATCACTCTGAGAGATTTCACTAGGGGAGAGGAAAGAAAAAAAAAAAAAAAAAGAAACATGAAAGAAATGACCGTGTCTGCATGATAATGAACTGCACAGGACCCTGAACTGGGAGCTCCATTGTGTCCCTCTGAAAAAGAACGGGGACATGGAAGTTGTGCTCACATCTTAAAGCTCCCTGTGGGAGGCCTGATGGGCATCTACACCCAGATGCAGTTGAAATGCAAGTTTGAGTCACCCCTGTGTATGTGACAGGCTTTTCTCTTGGTCATCTATGACACAGAGTCGTAGATAATTAGCAGTGGGTAGGCCCTTGGAGAAAGTCTGGGCAGACTCCCTTGTTTTATAGCCCTGAAAGTTGAGGCTCCGAGAGGAGCAGCCAATAGTATTTATACGAAGGTTCATGATTAGGACTGGACTCTCTGGGGCCCCAATTCCATCACTCCAGTGAGATGTGGACTTTGGTTATGCTAGTTTTGTCATAACTCCTAACGTTTTGTTTCCCCTGATCTTGTTCTATTGCAAGGCAGTTAACTCTGCACATGGCGTCCATCATGGACTGTAATTATGTATTTCTTGGCTGTTTCTCTCACTCTGAGCAAATTGAGGACAAGGATTGTGTTCTATTCACTTCTGAATCCCTGGTGGTTTCACATTGCCTGGCACATGCTTAGGATGGAATGACTCAGTAAATGAATGAATGGGTTAATGAATGAATGGATTTTTCAAAAGGACACAGAAGTAATGAAGCCAGCTTCATCATATACCATCTCTAAGCCTGTAGGTAATGTCAATGTTCCTCTGAAATCCCAGCCTAAGCCACTATTTGCTGTCAGCTGAGAAGAAAGTGTCGAATTCACAAATTGTACAATTGTGTGTTTCTAAGGTTAACATTCACTGAAGGCTTCAGACTTCACGAGAGCTTTAGCTCACAGAAAGGCAGAGCCTAAGGCAGTTAATGTCTTTTCTGAACAACACAGTAATGGATTGCTTCTGGGCTGATTCATCTTATTCCTACCTAATGGTTTGCTTATTTAACTGTGGCTGCTTTTCTCAGTAGGCGGTCTTAGTGCACTAAACGTTATCAAAACTCAACATTTAAACTTGAGAGCAGGAGAGTATGGGTGGGTTAGGCTTGAATGAACTAACGTTTCTGTAACCTGTAGTGAATTTCATATAATAGGCACTCATCCTGGAGGAATTATTTTTAATATTCTCATTGCTTGTTAATGCCCTAAAGGGCAGTAGAGATTCCCCCAAAGAGCTAAGATTGGTGGTGTATCACCTTTAAAGGGATGCAAATCTGCGTCAGTCCAGTGGCTTGTTGAGCTTCGAGATGCTCTGTGGGAACTCAGTGACCTTTGGGGTCCTCTGACTCAGGCTAAGAGGATGCTGGAAGATCTAGCTCATGAGGACATTCTCTCCATGTGTGAGGTTTTCAGCCCAGGGATGAATGACTGAGGTCACAAGTGTGAGATCACACTGCATCAGCGGGCTGCGTTCTGCTTTTGATGAATGCCTTCCATCAGTACAGCCACAGATGCTGTGTTTTTGCCATATACTTTACTATATTTGAGATACAAAGATTATCTTCTGGTGCATAATAAACTTTCAACACATTTTCTTCTGTGTGGAAGTTATCTAAAAATGTGGCGCTAGGGAATAGCTGCTCTGGCAGAGGGAGAATTTTGACGATAGGAATCTATCGTCTTTTCTACTTAAAAAGTATATAATCACTTATCAAAATGCATTCAGTTCTTTGAAGCAAGGTTAATTATCTGGATTTTAATGACTCTTAAAAATCATACCTTTTCTTCAAAGGTCCCTAGATATTATTTGTATTATAAAGATAAAAACATTAGAGTTTCCTAGATCCAATTTCTCTCTTAGAGAAATTATCCCCTTTCAACTGTGTTTTATCTCAGGAAAAAAATCATTATTTTAATTATGAATGTCTTTTGATATGCAGTATCTTACTTACATTTTTATGACCTCATTAAGTCCTCTGAAAGCTTGAGATGGAATTACTTTGACAGGGAGATAGGTGAGTGATCTAGAAAAGAAAAGAGGAAATCCAGGAGTTTAAGATTTAAGATGGGTTCCTTTTCAGTTCATGAATAAAGTGTGTGTGTGTGTGGGGGGTGAGTACAGAATTCCCAACACCTGAATTTAGGTGGAGAATTCTAACATAGTGGTAAAGAAATGTGCCATGGCTCATTCTTGGTCATGATTGACGTGTCTGATTTTGTGGTTAAGATGGTGAACGTTTAGATAAGATACTCCCAGGATCTAATCCTCACTGTCACACTATGAGTTTGTGACCCTGAGAATTTATTTAAGCCCCTGGTGCCAGTCTCTTCATCTATCAAATTGGGGTAATAATTCCTAGTTCCTGGGGTGTTGATTAATCAAGATAACTCTTGTAGAGAACTGTGCTTGGCTCAAAGTAAGTAGTAAATGGTTCTAGAGTGGACCTTTAGGCTTGGTTGGGAGGATGGACAAAAAGCTCTCTTGGGTAGAGTGGAGAAGTGAATGGTGAAGATAGAGTCAGAAACCATGCAGGTATGAAAAGGGAATATTCACTAAGAAGATGTGCCTCTCTCGAGCTGTACCGTCTTCCTCAGGCAGCTCACTTCGGTATTATCCCAGTCAGGTCACTTTGATTCTCTGGTTAAGCACATGGGCATCCCATGTCACTTAGAACATCATTTGAGAGCATTTCATTCAGGCAGTCACATCCATGGGAACATAGATTATTCTTGAAATTGAGGCAAAAGATATGTAGGACATAAGAACTGAGAAAAAAGTGATGCCCAGGAATAGCAAAAGTGCAGGATGATGTATGAATGCTAAAGGAAGTAGGGTACAGAGAACTCAAGAGAAATCATTTTCAAGGCCAAGATGAATGTTCAGTTGTTTATTGAGCATCTACAGTGCTTCAGGATTTTGGTTCCAGGACTGGCAGAGAGGAAGGGAATGGACCAGGTCATGAGAGATTAAAAATATGAAAACTGAAATGACGGAGGCTGGCTTGTTTCTCATGTGTCAATGTGCCAGGAACTGCCTTAGCTATGAGGAAAGAATTCCTCTTCTTGATGGCAGATTTCCATTTTCAAAAAGACTTATTTAGGTGTTTATGTACTTGAAAGAGCAACAGAGAGACAGAAAGAGAATCTTCCCTCCGCTGGTTTACAACCCAAATGGCTCGAGCAGCTAGGTTTTGGTCAGGACGAAGCTAGGGCCAGAAACTCCATCTTTGTCTCCCACGTGGGTTGCAGAGTCCTAAGTACTTGGCCTGTCTTTTGCTGCCTTCTGAGGCTCATGAGCAGGAAGTTTTATCAGAAGTGGAGCAGCCAGGGCTTGAATTGGCACTGCGGTGTGGGAAGCCGGCATCACAAGTGGTGGCTTGACCCGCTGCACCACCACACTAGCCCCTGATAATCAGATTTCAATCAGTGAGATTCTCAAAGTCTCAGAAGGGACTGGCTTCTGTGTGAATTATGCACACCCACCTTTAATCTTATTTTATCCACTCAAAATGGTGTGAGGTGGCTATTTGAGAGCAGAAGAAACTGGGTCGAAAGGAGATTAGTAACCTAAACAAGGTAACAACCAAGGCCACTGACTCCAGTGCCCTTTCCACGGTGCAGTGCTGGACTGAGTGGTTGCTGACCTGGCTCTCTCAGAAGAAAAGGGGAGGCACAGGTGCTCCAGCCTCCTTCTGTTGACAGGAAGCAAGGCTCCAGACCCTCTGTACCTGCAGCAAGGCAGTTTACCAGTAGTTCCTCCCTCGGATATGACGCCAAGCAACTTTAGAAATTTTGCTTCTGAAAAATGTTTCGGCTCAGCAGTTCCTCAGAGATGACTGGACACAGAGGGAGGAATCCCGACCTGGGCCTCGGATTCTGTTCCTGAAGATGTCCCACAAGCACATCGGTCAGCCCCCCCAAACTTATTTACCTGGGGGTCTGAGAAGAGCAGGGATGCTGAAGGGGGAGAAATGTTCCTGCACTGGCGTGTTTGCTTCCTATATTTCTTCTGGAATCATGTCCGCTTGGCTTCCTGATTAAAAACACAGTTTTATTGCTCTCTGCACTGCCAAACCAATAAATTTCCAAAGAGAAAGCTGTATTCTACGGTACCCTATGCAACATCAATAAAACTGACAGCCAAATTCTGATTCCAGAATCTTTATTGCTGGGGATAATGCAGCTCAGAACATATTTTGGAGTGTGTTTACATAAAAGCTTCCACGGAACCCTTCAGAGCTGTTTATTCATGCAAATGGAGCTCTAAGCTGGGGCATCTCAGCAGGAGCCGCCTCCTCCAAACCGGAGTGTGGTGTGGCTCCCAAAGGAGCAGTTTGGTTCAGGTTTGACCAGGGAGGATTGCTGAGCTCCTGATTGATGTATGGATGAGGAGCAAAGGTCAGACAGAAGAGAGAAAAGCTGTAAATCATGCACTTCTAGTCGCTGGTGACTGTGGAACAACCCTGGTGCAAGATGAAATTTTGCAGAGTTGATGATGATGCTTCAGGCCAGGAGAGGCAACAGTGAAGAGAGTAAAAACAGAGTCCTCACCATAAAAGGGAGACAAGTGAACAGCAGTGACATCGGTTATGGATGTGATTGGGTCAAGAAAGAGGCTTGGGGGCCAAAGAATGGGAAGAAAGGCGGGGTAAGGCAGGTGCATCATGCTTGTAACAGATGTGGTCCTGTGAAGTTACCCAAAGAACACAGTTTGTGAATCCACATCTGTTTTTTCTCACTGAGTTATATTCTTATTTCAGAGGTGTCGTATCTTGATTTCTGACTCATCTTCAATTGGCAAGCAGTTCCTAAGTTGTTAAGTTTCTGTCTCCTGTGTTCAAGATGCTTATGGTGGTGAGGTCCATTCTTTCTTAAGAACAGTTTGCAAAAACTCCCTTTGAAGATGCACCCTCCTCTGTTGCATTCTTTCCCTGATGACAGAAACTTTTAGCAATGTGAATAATTATCTAAATAACCCTGCAATTTCATTCCTGTATACATCCCAGAGAAGTTGCTACTTAATGGAACCTGTGCACGAATTTTCTTCATCACTTGGTAGCATTAGGGGGTTGAAGACAGCCTGGGTGTCCAAGGCTGGGGAAGGAGCAGGTGACATGTGAATAGTACGTGCCTCATTGTACCACTCAATGCTGAGAAGCCAGAGTCTAGGCACATGGAGCAGCATGGGTGGTCTTATAGCATGGGGCTGAGATAAGCTGAGTAAGAAATAATGAGGGGCTGGTGCTGTGGCATAGTGGGTAAAGCCGCCGCCTGCAGTGCCAGCATCCCATATGGGCACTGGTTCAAGTCCTGGCTGCTCCACTTCCAATCCAGCTCTCTGCTATGGCCTGGGAAAGCAGTAGAAGATTGCCCAAGTCCTTGGGCCCCTGCACCCATGTGGGAGACCTGGAAGAAGCTCCTGGCTCCTGGCTTTGGGTTGGCACAGCTCTAGTTGTTGCAGCCAACTGGGGAGTGAACCAGCAGATGGAAGTCCTACCTACATTTCTTTCTCTCTGTCTCTGTCTCTGTCTCTCTTCTCTGTGTAGCTCTTTCAAATAAATAAATCTTTAAAACAAGAAATTAATAACAGATGTAAAATGTTCTTTGCAGAATTAAAATTAGACATTTTGAAAGAAAACACAAGAACATGAACTTACTTTAGGATTTTTATCAATGGTGAGTATAGAGGAATAGAAGTGGAGAAGGGGATTAAATAGATAAATAACAAAATCGAGAGGGACTTTGAATGGATCGATGATGAAGTTACTTGAATGAAGAAATGTGAGTTAACCCTCTGTGACTGAGCGACAAATGGAAAGGAAATGTTTTGTGATGTGTGACCGACTCCCTCCCTCCCTCTTCCTTTGTTTCCTTGTTTTGTTTTGTTTTCCTTTGGTGTCAGGCATGGAGGAGGGGATTCCAGAGTTTTGTGGAAAAATGGAATTAAAAGATAAGTGTATTCTGGTGCAGACTTTTTTTAAACCCCTGCCTAGTTTTTTTTCACAACATGCATTTTCCATGAACTTTCTGAAGTTTCTTCATATTTCCAGAATTTTGTGAACTTCTGGAACTCTTGTATCCTTTGATACAGAGCAGAAGCCAAGGACAACAAGAAAAAAGAGGACAAAGACAGGGACAGTTGGGTGGCTTTGCTGTCCAGGTTCTAAAAAGACATGAAAAGTATGTACAGTGCAAAGAAAAATAGAACAGTAAATAAGGTGACACTTCCAAACTGTTCATCTCAGGAGGGTGATTCATTTTTTTATAAAGATTTTATTTATTTGAGAGGTAAAGTTATAGGCAGTGAGACAGAGAGATAGAGAGAAAGGTCTACCATCTGCTGATTCACTCCCCAACTGGCTGCAATGGTGGGAGCTGAGCCGAATTGAAGCCAGGAGCTAGGTCTCTGATGCAGATTCAGGGGCCCAAGTGTTTGGGCCATCTTCCAATGCTTTCCCAGGTCACAGCAGAGAGCTGGATCAGAAGAGGAGCAGCCGGGACTAGAACCAGTACCCATGTGGGATGCCGGCACTGCAGATGGTGGCTTCACCCACTACGCTACAGCACTGGCCCCAGAAGGGTGATTAAAAAAAGAAGGTAACTGGGTACATGAGACTGAATTGGCAGGGCAGACAGTTTCCTCTTTAAAAGTGACTAAGGTGGCTTCAGAAGAATATGGCTCTGGACCCTGAGCTACTTCTATTTATTATATGTCCACAGTCCTTTTCTAGTTTTAAGCTTTGCTATTGAAATGAGTCAGTGATACAACACAGGTTGAACCTGGATTATGGACAAACTCCACCTTATCCAAATGTGCCTTCACCATAGAAGTTGAAACAAGTACTTAAACTGGATAACAAAAGCTGCCTTAGCTTTGTCAGCTCTGGAACATTTATCTAGTCATTAATCCCATTTGCAAGAGGCCAGTCCTTCCAATTGTGGGTTAAAGTTGAAGCAGAAGCAGTCTCTGCATGTTGGGATTGGTAGTAAGTCCCTCATCCTAGTCCTGGGATCGTGTGATTGG